TTTTTTAATTATTGTTTATGGTCCGATCTATGCAAAATGAACTGACTATGTCCTGAGGTCTTGCAGTGGTATGCTTGGGTTTAGTTTTAATTTTATTGATTATAGGACCCCAAGCAGGTGGTAGTACCCAGCCTCCTTCTCTATTGAAATTAGGATGTTTTTTAATTTCAATAGCCTCACGTATTATTCTCGGTAGGAATCGGTGTTCTTTCGCGACGATTTGTGGTCTATCAAATCTGATGTAATGGTTGGGGCCGTCTAGGACATGATCACAAACTGCAAACTTCCCTGAACTTTAATGCTTCACGTCAGCTATATGTTCTTTTACGCGGGTTTTAATTGTTTTTTTCGTTTGCCCTATATATGAGAGACCACATTCACAATCAAGGGTGTACACTCCTGCACCTTTTAGAAGAATATGACACTTGATTGATGGTAAGAACTTACTAATCTTCTTCAGAGGCTTGTAGAATGTTCTAATAGAAGCTCGCTTCAAGATGTAGCCGATCTAGTCTGTGACACCCCTGACATATGGTAGTAATGCACACGCTTGACTGTGGCCGGCTTCACTCGGTCACTGTGACGTAGGCGCGGGACCCGAAGCTTGTTGTCGTGCAGAACTTGACGTGTTGAAGCTCGGCGGCCAGGTGTTTGCTGTCACAGATCCCTCGTGCTCTCTGTAACAAAGATTTGCCCACGGTAGCTAACTGTGAAGGATGGTGGTGAGATTCACCGTTTAAATATCGGTTTGTATGGGTCTTTTTCCTATACACAGTGTGACCAATGGTGTTGTTAGGATTTCACATAACTAACACATCTAGGAAAGGTAAGGAATTATTTGCCTCTAACTCCATAGTAAATTGAATTTTAGAGTTTATGGAATTAAGATGTTCTAAAAATGCAGTTGCTTTGTCTGATGGTGAAAGTATCGTCTACGTACCGCTTGTAGATCCTTGGTGTAACAGGTGCAGTAAGAAGGGCTTTCTCCTCAAAGTCTTCCATGAATATATCGGCGACAATGGGACAAATTTGAATCGAATTAAAACCTTTTTTAAATTAAACAGCACAACGTTAATTTTATAGAAGTAAGCCGAGTAATGTACAGAGTCACTTTGTGCTCGAAACTTCAGTCTTTTGACTCGGGCAGAAAACACCGACAACAATCGGAAGTCACCCGAGAATGAAGCGAAGTGTCCCTGTACACACTCATCTTTGCCCAACTTCGTTCAACTTTGCGAGCAGTGTACTGCAGGCATTAGAGAGTTATAGAGTGTAGAGGTAAGGAGTACAGATTCTGTACAAAAAAGTGTCCGTAGGAAAGCGTTAAATAAGGGTGGTGCCACTGTAGCTACAGTTTAAATTTTAAAGAACTTTTTCGTAATATATATACAAATATGTATATTTAGCGTAATTATTTTTACAACAATTATTTGGTTGCTTTCAAAATATTTATTTTTAAAATCACTCTCAACGTATTTTACGACTATTTATCATACCCTGTAGCTACTCGAGCGCTGTTGTGGAGAATTTTTGAACTGTTATTTACTGCTTACAGATGGACACAATTTCAACTATTCTCCTATGGGACTTTCAGTTGAAACAGCTCAGTCGAACTGACGTACATCCAAAAACTGATCGTGAGTCTGAAATCTTAAGTTGAAATTTTCTACTGATGCACTCCACGGAGTTTTCCGGCGCACCGTAATCCTACTGGCTTCAGTTCGTTTTATATCTACTTTCTTAGTAGCTACTTACATTATTTCTATGCTATTTAGATTTTTTTATTATTTTATATATTTAGAGAATTTCTTTTGACGGAGGACGACCTTCCTTATGATTGACTCAGAAGATGGGTAAAAGGATCTTAGTGATGCTACGTAGAACCATCGTATTTTTTTTCAATTCATTTTCAAAAAGAGTAATGAAGACCTGGACTCCACTCCGTGGACTCCGAAGGTGGGTTAAAGATCTCAGTGACGTCATTTCGTAGAATCATTGTGTGTAGACTCATTTGAAAGGGCTTATAAATACCTAGATGACTGTGATGATTTCACCTTCCTTATGGTGAAATCCGAAGGTAAGTTTAGGATCTCAGTGAAGGCACTACATAGAACCCACTGTGTTTGGACTCATTTGAATTTGTGAATTTGTGATAATCTCACATTCCTGATGACGAACTCAATATCTCGGTAAAGGATCTCAGTAATGCCACTACGTAGAACCATCATTTTTAGACTAATTTAAATACCAAGGTGCCTGCGATGATCTCACCTACCTGATGATGGTGGACTCCGAATGTGAGTATAGGATCTCAGTGACGGCACTAGATAGAACGATCGTGTTTGAACTCATTTGAAAGGACTCAAAAAGACATAGGTGACTGTTATGATCTTACCTTTCTGATGGTGCAATTTAAAGGTATGTATAGGATCTCAGTAACGGATCTATTTTTATATTTTTATTATTATTAATTTATAGGAGTGACATTCTAAAAAATTTATGCCTCCAAAGGGGGAGAAAACACAAGAAAAATAAATAAAACTAAACAAAATATAGTGTAACTATATGTGTTATGTATCTTAATACAATACGATAAATTTATTATTTTATAAAACTCAACATATTTGAGGTTATCAAACAAATCAAATAATTATTTTATTAATTTTAGACTTTTTTTTCTTCTTTTTTTCAAACGTTACCTCCGAGGATTTTCTCCTGTATCGTGGAGGCATTTTACAAACATAAATTGCACAAGGACAAACATTCAGATCCTGAACAGTCATTTGTAAACCATACAAATACTTGTTCTGTACGGGATTCGAACCCACGGCTCTCAGCGCAGCAACTATCGCTAAGCTACTGCATCACGGAGCTTATTTATTTTATCATTTTTGTACAATCTTATGCTGGGGCCACACTAATGAGAAATGCCGTTAATTATTGCGTTGATGGACGTTGAATGTAGGTGTGGCCATTAGGTTAGGTCTTAATTTGCTTAATATAATTATAATAAATGCACTAAACTAAAACGACTTACTTTTTTTTAAATAAAGCCGATATTACGATATTTTGTTTAATACGATATATAAAACTCCAACATCTTGATGATATTTATAGTCATCAATATATCAAATATAAGATATTTTAAAACTATCACAGTACTAGTTTGGACTGATCAGTTAGAATGATCAATTGAACTGACCGTGTGTGTGGAAATTTCTTTGGCTTAAATCCGTTCGAACTGAAATCAATTCGACTGATGACTTTAACCATGGAAGTTAGAGAACAGAAGAACAATCGCCGTAGAAAATATTGTTCCAGAAATATGGACACCATAAGTAAGGTACTGCGATCGCTAAGTTCGGTCAATAAAAGTCATTTTCAGTCTATTTTTCCGATCAGATGCTAAACGACTTGTTATCCACGCGCAATAAAATATTTCTCCATTTTTTAATGTTTCTTTTTGTCAAAAGAAACATTAAAAATGATTTCATGAATTACGGAGCATGAAAATTTTCTCACCAATGCCGCGAAGAAAATTTGTACATTATTCAACTAACTTCATCTACTTGTACTCATAAACAGCTAACTTCGCAGTCACTACTCACCGACGTCAGCGCCGCTATAAATTCTAAAATTTTCTAGGACAGGTGGGTGCTGTCTATGGAAGACTTTAGAAACATCACCAAACTATTCACATCCGAAGGTGTGCCCTATCACACCTACTCTCTCCCTGAAGAACGTAATGGTGTCCTCCGCGGAGTTCTCTTTGAACTCGCCAACGAGGAAATCCTGGAGGACCTTAAGTCCCAGGGATTCCCAGTTGAGGCTGTGCACAAGATGCACAGCAACAGGGGCAAGAGGTACTCGCTTGCCCTCCTCATTTTGTCCAACGTGCCGGAGGCTAAAGACATATTCCGACAGGTACACACTGTGTGCGTCATGTCAAGAGTCAAAGTCGAAGCCCCCTATAGGCGCGGTTTTCCGGCGCAATGCCACCGTTGCCAACTCTACGGACATGCGGCGGCCAACTGCTCAGCCACTCCCAGGTGCGTTAAATGTCTAGACCCGCACAGCTCGAAAGAGTGTCCTCGTCCTCGTGATACCGAGTACCCACCCGCTTGCGTCTTTTGCGGACAGACTGGCCATACAGCCAACTTCAGAGGCTGCCCTCGCGCACCGCGCCCCAATCTCGGCAACAAAGCTGCCAAAAAAGCCCCGCCACCGGTCAATGACCGTACATTCCCGGCCCTCCCATCCAAAATGCCCCTACAGGGCAAATCTCAGTCACCTCAAGACCCATATCGGCCCCCTCAGGAACCCTACCGGCCTCCTCACCTCCGCCCACTAGGGCCTCGACAACAGGCGGAACCCTCTTACGCCGATAACGTAGATACAGTATACACTGCTATCCGCAATATCGACGTAAAAGAGATCGCAATTTTAGCACGCAAACTGCGCGCTTCTCAGTCCCCTTAGGACCGTTTGCTCGCGCTTACCGAGCATCAACACCTTCTGAACTCAATCTAATTAGTCATCCCATCCCATCCGTTAGCTGCCTTAATTAGGCAGCAACTCTTCCCAACGGCTATTCGCCGCTAGCGCCCTCCTTTCACCCAAGGGGGGGTTGCACCGATACGGCACAATAAAGCTTAATCAGCCAGTTGCCAGTCCCTAAAGGCGGTTTTTAGAGGGTATCACTTAAGTTCCCCGGTAGGATGTGAGTCCCTCATAACCACGATACCCACTTCTAGGCTATCGTGGGCTGGGCTATCGTGGTATGCGTAATGCATTTTCCGCCTCCCTACGTATAGGCTAGCCCTTTAATTGCTTCGGGCGCAAAAAAAAAAGGACAGGTGGGCTATGCTTTAGTACGTAGTGATCGTTCTCCTGTTCTCTAACCTCCATGACTTTAATTGACCGTGTGTGGCCACCATTATAATCAGTGAATTTTATTTTATCATAGATAACACACTTTTATCTATGGTATACTGTCGACAATGGCAGATGCTAAGCAAGGTATGGTTCACTATTTTTCATATGAGATTTTTATAATTTACTATCACTTTTAAGATCGTTAATCCACAAAAATAATGTGAACTCCATGTAATGTATTTGTAAAATAATAATTTGCTTTCTTATAAATAATAAAAGCTATAGAAAGACAATCCTACATCATCAACGATTTTTTGTCTGCGAAGTGCAAACAGATGAATTTAATTGTAATCAAACTTGTTATCTACAGAAATACTAAGCTTCCATTCCAAGATTTACTACAACATTATTGTGCTGATTCATCGCCTTAACATGAATCTTATAGGCTCAGAACTCTTAAACTAATCCTATATCTATGTATACAGGTTTTCGTTAAATGTTATATTTACTTAAATACTTTTATATCAGGGAAGGCGGCTTCGGAAGATCTGTATAATGGTTCATCTCAATCTAGGGTCATATTGGCGAAGCCGCGTCTTGGCGGTTTTGGATCTTCGAATGTTGCCTCAAGTTCTAACAAAAGCTCTAATCCCTTTGGTATGTACCTTTATTCTTTAGATTTTCTTTTGTGTGATAAAGATTTTTGATTGAAAATGAGAAGGTACTGTTGAATTTAAGACAAATGGTGTTTGTGAATATTTTTAAAATTGTTTATTACAAATGTTTTACATCTTACAAAAGCCTCTGATTTTGTAAAATTATAAGAAATGGTGCATTTTGTGGCATAGATATTTTATTTTTTAAATTATAAAACGTATATTATTATACATCATAAATGTATTATCACTACAACCCATCATAAGTCTGCTGCTGATCATAAGCCTCCCCATAGTATGTGCCATGCCCATTGTTATGGTGTTTATTCAACCAAAATCATAATTTCAAGATGCATAAGATGTGTGCTAAGTGTTGTCACAATAATTTAAGCATAATTTTTACTTAGCTCGGTATCACTTCAAATGTGCATAGAGCAATTCACCCATTTTTCTTTTATGATATGAGCACTAGCCATGTACAAATATTTTGCCAACAAACTGATTATAATGATCCTTATTTTTTTGTGTTTATTGCATGTTAAAAATCAAATTTGATATTAACAAATTAATGATTTGAAATAACCCATTTTGTGTCATATTTCATCAGGTAGTCACTGTGTGACATATTTCATCAGAAGGTCACTCCCACCTTATTTTAAAATTGCATTAGAGATAAAAATATAGTGTTGAATTAAGTTTGTTACTTCATACTTTCTGCAATGTTGTAGGTACATATATCAGTCAAGGGTGTGAGAGGTACTTATATAAGGTTGTGTTTTTAGTTAAACATTTTGTTTTAATTTTCTTTATTACACCAGAATGCAATCTATTTCCAGAATTATTTTATTGGCATTGCTCTTATATTTAATCTTTATTGTAAATTATCATAATCCCTTGAATCTACTCTTAGTGCTGAACTGTTTATGCATTTTGCAATCATTTTGAAGGTTCAAAGTTATATGAGGTCTGGACTGTGTGCGGGATGGGCCACTAGTTCCACCCATACATAAGACTGTTGCATTCCGGGATGTTATTATATGTCCATGTTTTTTCTGCGGTCACCAATAAATAAAAACAACTTAAAACATTTAATTTTTAATTATGTGTGGGTAATTAAAAAAATAAGAAAATGGCTTTATTTGTGCAATGGAACTTCAAAAAACCATTGAAGACAATAAGTTTTGCAGTGTGCTGTTACTCTTTTGGCTTTTGTTCTTGCAGTTTTTAGAAGACTTTTAATATCAATAAGTTTTTTATGACACCCAAAGCAACGTCTTCATGTAGATATACCCTAACATTGCCAATGCATTCTGAAAATGTGAGCACCTATTGGATCCTAACAGTGTACTTGAGGATGATGAACACAGGCTTTCGAATGGCATTTGTCTCAATACTTCTTTTTTTTAAACTAGATGTTCACAAGTTCACAGTTCACAGTACACTCTAAGTTTATACACTATTTCAACTTGATAAGTCTGTGTATCGAATACATTACACAGTCAAAAGATAAGAAAAACCGGATAATTAGTTATTTATGTGGGCTAACTATTCAAAATGAGTCATTTTGAATCAATTTGATTAAGAATATTACAAAAACTGATTTGGACATCTGGGGTTATCGAAAAATACTGTATAGAGATAGGTAACAGTTTAAAAAGCTAACCACCTTAATAACTTCTCATCTTGGTGTTGAAATGTTTAGAAGTATTTTTAGGCTTACAAAAAACCTATGATGTGTTTATTCCGATACTGTTAATTCATCTGGAAAAGATTGTTATTAGAGGCATCATGTATCGGTGGTTTAAAAAATATTTTATTAATTATATTAAATAGCAATTGAGGGAGGGTGGGAGGTGTTCTTCAGATTGGGCAGGACTTTTAGAATATTATTAGAATTTTTTAGTATTAGAATTTTAATTAATAGAATTTTATTTCATAACGTAAAAATGAGCAAATTAAGTTCTAAGAAAATAAATGTATTGGACTGGCAAGGACAAAGAGTGAGGGTGGATATATATCTTAGTAATGAAATGCCATGTAGCTATGTTGTTCCGCAAGTACACTTTGGCCGCCTCTTTTTCTTAATTATATTGATGATATTTGTAGGTTGAATATGAGCGTTTGGAATCTTATAATGTTCGCAGACAGTACTGTACTTTTATTACAGTCGACGAGATGACGGTACAGAAGGGACTATGCAATCTATTTAAAAAAGAATTAAGCATGGTAACAGCTTGGTTAGAGGACAAACTATTGTTTCTCAATACCTCTAAAACTAAATATTTATGTTTTATTACAACCAAAGCTTCTCCCAGAAAGTAATTTCAGATTGCGCAATACATACCAACCCCCCATAATAGGCAGCAATCTGGTGATAGCGGTACCTGTTATTGCTGGATAGCTAAGGTACTTGAGTTACAACACTAAAATATTTGGGTTAATTATTGACTTACACCTAAATATAGTCATATAAGAAAGATTATACATCATATCTTATGAAAAGCTTTTTTTCTTTTGCTGACCACAAACTTCTTATGAATCTGTATAAGGCTTTTAGAGAATGTATCATCATTTATTGTGTAGTTTTATGGGGTGGCGGTGCTAAATTCCAAATGATATTAATTGTTGAAATTGGCTATAAGAAAATTGCTGAAAGTTATTAAACTTTTATTTCACTATTCAACTACAGCACTTTACCAAAACGCAAATGTATTTAGCATTAGGTAACTATTTATTGAACAAATTATAAGATATCATCACTCAATTCCACCGTATCATAGAAAATGTTCTCCTACGTGGTTCGGAATCCCAATATCTCTTGTTAGAAGTGTCATTGCTCGAAGACAGTATGATTATCTAGATTCTCGCATTTATAACATTGTTAATACAGATACGAACTTCAACTTGCGATAAAAAAAATAACACGCGAGTGTCCGCTAAGAATTATTTAAATCAATATATTTCTTAAGTTAAAAAATATATAAAAATCAAAATCGAAACATTTACGAGCGACCAGGAGCAGTGTGCCCTGTGTAGTTTTAGTTTAACCATTAAGTGTTCGGTAAGTTTTTGATTATTATAACATTATTTTCAGGCTCTGTCTTACGCCCACCACAGTTAAAAGCTACTAATAATCCATTGTATAAACATGGTGAAATTCCTGATGAAGTTGACACAGAGAAAGAAAAAGATAAAGAAACCATTCTTGTGGATAGACTGCAAGATAAAAAGGAAGAAGTAGAACCACCTAAATTTGTTCCACTAGGTTCTGCAAATGCTACTTCTAGAGCTTCCAACTCTGTACCCACACCAGCACAACCTACAACTAGTGCTTCTTCAACTGGATTTATATTTGGACAGAACTTGAGTGAAAGAGTTGTTATGGCAGAATCTGTTAACAATGGTGAATCATCTGCTGATCATAGTACATCAAATGGGACTACAGAATTGCTGTTTACAAATGCTGCTGCATCAGTTAAAGAAAATAATCAGGTTTGTGCGAACACATATTTTTCTATTATTATTGTTGTGAAAATTATCTCTATAGTCGTAAGTTAATAGTTTTGATAAGTATAAAATATTACCATATTATTTAACATTTTTCATTCATTACAGCTAATCAAAGTCCACTGCTGAACGTAGTCCTCCTCATAAATTGCCTTGTAAGGAGAATATTTGCCATAGTTGCCACGCTTGATAGGCGGATGGTCAACATCATTCTTTTTTTTTTTCTAGTTAATCTTCTAGGGAAACCTATCTGCTGATTGGTTTTCCTCTGTTGCCTTTTGCGACACTCGCTGAGCGATACTGCGTAGTGGATGTTCTTAGACCACCACTACATGGTTCATTCTATTGAACATTGAAATGTTTTATGAAAATTGCAATTTACTAGCCAATTACGACTTTTGTCAAATAACATTTACCTTGATGTTTGCATCATATCTGAACTAATAGTTACAAAATGTTATATAAAGTTGTAAATTTTAGAATAATAGAAGAAAAAAATGGTAAAAGTAAAAAGTAAAGTTACAGCCTACATACGTCCCACTGCTGGGCTCAGGCCTCCCCTCATTTCTGAGAGGGTTTAGGGCAAGGAAGTGTCCGCCGCGCTGCCCAAATGCGTGTTGACGAACTTCACATGTCTTTGAAATATTTTTTTTTCTTATTCCTCAGACATGCAGGTTTCCTCACGATGTTTTCCTTCACCGCCGAGCACGTGATAAATCAGCACTTAAAATTGCAATTAACAATTTCCTTGGTGCCGGCGGGGATCGAACCCGGGTTACTCACATTCTGTTATATTTAAAGCGAGCGTTAACCACTGAGCTACCACGGCTCTCACGGCAAAAAAATGGTAAAAGAAATAAATAATAGAAGAAAAATAAAAATAGAAATAATAGCGTTATACTTCTGGGTGATCCTACATAAATTTGGAAGATAAATGGAGATTCCCATCTAGATGGAGTTGTGCTTTGTGTTATTCTTTGGGGAAGGTCAACATTACACAGTGCACTTGTGATGGGCTGTTATGATTTATATGAACAAATGATAATTTTTCTCTGTATTTGCAAAATCAATGTGGATACAATTTGATCAATTGTAATTTGTTTTTGCCATTTTTTGCTCAATCATATTGTTGGTGATGGTGATGGTTGCTTGACTTTACAATAATATTTTCTATTTCTGGATTATCACTGGTACACAACTAGACCTGAAACAGGGCTTTGTGGTACTCCTATCTTTTATGCCCTTCAATTCGAAAGGAGTATATTCTTGTCTTGGATTGCAATGTTGAAAGACAAATCCAAATAAGCGATTTCAAATCCCACTGACTATTGACAGAAAGTAGCGTTGTCAGCATGCGGTTATTGTGTGTGACTCATAGCATAAACCTGATTAATGTAGTGAGTATCGTCAACACTCTCTTTCTCTCGAGGTCGCGAGTATGCCTTTGCCAGCAGACTTCAAGATATTAAAGTGGTGTAGCTGTAGGTGTGGTTATTTTCCTGTATATTGTAAGATGTAATTGTAATATTGTAGGTATAATGCTGGAAATTTATCTTTCATTATAAAATTATTTGCCATAAGCTCCACATTTGGCAGACAAATTGGCGACCCTTGTAATGAGAATTCTCTCGCACTTTTGACGTTGTTCCTTTTTATCAGTCTGTTTAGTTTAAATCTGGTATGATAAGATTTCGCTTGAAATAAGAAAATGGTATACTTTCTGTTTTCTTAAACAACAAACTTGAAATAAGAGCACTAGTTATTAAATGGAATAATATTGGACAGGAGGAACCAGGACCAAGTGAGAAGAGTGGCGATGGTCTTGCGGCCGCTGCAGCGGAATACGAGCGATCTCACGCTCGGCCACCGCCGCCCACTACTCAATGCACCATGACTGGAGAGGAGGATGAAACCAACATACTGCAGGTAAAGTTACAGTCTATATACTTAGTCAGGTCATTAGTTCTGTCAAAAACTTTTTATAAAATTAATGATAAACTTTTTGATAATTACATAGAAATCATATATGAAATGAAATGTTTTATTAATTAATTTAGAAAATTTTTTTTTTTTTTTTGCCCTATGAGCTGGTGCAGAGTCCTGTTGGAATATCCAATGTCTGTTTTTGAACATTGTTTGAGAAAGAGGTCCCACTATGTTTGTTAGTATGGTATTTTGGTACACCTCGGTACTGGTTTTTACACCCTTTACAGAAAAACACCTCAGTTAAGCCTGAATATGAGACTCCAAGCCAAATCATGAGTGACGAAGGATAATGTGCTCGTGGAAGCCCTCGGAATACGCGTGCTAGCTTCTTCACTGCTGTGGGCATACACCTTATCATTTTGTTTATTATAACTTTCTTTGATGTTAAAAATTTTTTTCACCCTAAAACAAAATTTCGCGGTATTTTTGTAATAAAGTGCGGGATCTATCCAGCCTAATTTTTTCAAACGCTTGTTCAAAAAATGTCCGGTCTTCTTACGATAAACTCGTAGTCCTAGGTCTTCATTGATTAGCCTTTTGAACGTGGTTCAGCTTAGGCCCATCCGAAGAGCTAAGATTTTTTGTTTACGAACAGACTCGTTGGGTTGGATTCGCGCCTTCACTGCTTTGATGATGGCAGGTGTCCTAACTATACGAGGTCGGCCGGTCCTCTTACGATCTTCGAAGTTTGAATCTTCAGTGAATCGTTTGATAGTGCCATAAACAAATCGTAGGGTTATTTTCAATTTTTGTAGAATATTGAAAATCTCTTGGCGCATAACCACAGCGGTGCAACGCGATAACCGCTACTTTATCTTCTTTCTTCGACCACTCCATCAAAATGAATGAAAATTAATGTCTTTTTTTATTTTCGGCAAGTGCAAACTTAATATTATTAAAGTTTGTGAAGTTCATCTAGCCAGTATTCAATTTTTTTTAATAATAAGATTTTAACAGTACTTATGACCCGACTAAGTACATTGCACTCCTGGGCACAAGCCTCCTCCCATTACTGATAGGATTTATTTTTGGGTAAAAATGAGTCCGCCGCGCTACCTCAATGCGTGTTGGCCGTTTTCGCATATCTCCGAAATATTTTTTTTTAATTTCTTAGATGCGCACGTTTCCTTCACTTGATGGGCATGTGGTAAATCAGCACTTAACCTTTACAGATTATGAAAAGTGCACTGCTGAACATAGTATAGTTCTCCCATAAATTGTCTTATACACCTATACATTTCATCTCGCCTTGGACGTTCTGAATTCTCGGACTTTGTTCGGCTTTAACCATTACTTTTAAACTGTCGCGGTCTGACCGTGTTTGCTTTACACCAAGTCCTCATAGATTATCGTAAATCCAGATCACAGAACTTCTGTAGTGAGATTATTGTCTTAATTAAGTATTAATTACTACAACACTGAAGTTAAATTGCAAATATGGTCAAGTTTTTAAGTCTGTCGTCTGTATGTCGGGAAATAGAGTAAATGGGGCCCTGCAATCTATTGTGAAGAGTCAAAATGTGTCGAAAAAGGCACGTATGGCAATTCACAATGCTGTGTTGGTCCCTACTTTAACATATGGTAGTGATAAGTTGGGTGTGGCAGAAGAAGCACGAGAGTAGAATGAACGCAGTAGAAATGCGGTCGTTAAGGAGTATGTTAGGGCTGAATCTTAATGACGGGGTAAGAAATTGTGTAATAAGAGAAGAGTGTGGTTTGCAAGATGATGTTGTGACCAGGATTAAGAAAGGAATGCTCCGGGTTGGTTTGGTCATGTGGAAAGAATGAATGAGGAAAGAGTGACAAAGAAAATTTATGGTGCAGAAGTGAATGGCAGAGTCGGAAAGGGACGTCCTAGGCGAAAATTTATCGATCAAATTGGCGATTTATTGAAAACGGGCCAAATTAGGAGTACCCTTAACCGACGAGCATGTATGCGGAGGTGTATGGATGTGAAGGAGGCGAGAGAGGTGTGTCAGGATCGTGCCAAATGGAAGTCTGTAGTTTCTGCCTACCCCTCTGGGTGACAGGCGTGAGTGTTTATGTATGTATGTATTTTTAAGTCTGTCCTGTTAAATTCTACAGTTTTCTTTCTCCAGAGCCTATTTTTTCCATTACTGTCTTACATTGTTTATTTTCTTAGTCGTAAATCCTTCATCATCTTGTAAAGTATATCCTATCCTTTTCCCCTCCTTACCATAACAGAAACAATAGCGTGCATTATTTTTCAAAATCCTTAGTAATATGATCGGTCCCAGCTAGCCTTTCACTTTCACATGTACCAATTTAACTTGCGATCTTGTTTACTTTATTGCTATCATCTTAAATTAAAAAAAAATACGAAGGGTCTTTTGCCTTTTAGCAATCTCTTAGGAATAAACCTTAGAATTTTATTTTGGTAATGTGTGATTTTTGTTTTGTTTCAGATTACATGTCGACTGTTCGCATGGGAGGCGGGTAGCTGGCGCGAACGCGGGCGTGGTGTGTTGCGGCTCAACGACGCGGCGCCGGGCGGCGGCGGCGGCGGTGGCTCGCGTCTGGTGGTGCGCGTGGCGGGCTCCTTGCGTGTCGTGCTCAACACAAAGCTCTGGCCCGACATGGTCGTCGAACGGGCTGGGGCCAAGTCGCTCAGAATCACGGCCGTTGATGCCCAGTTGCAAATTAAGTTATTCCTTATCATGGTGAGTCTCAGTTTTCGTTCGTATATTCTCTATAGATCGCAAGAAATGCATTTTTAAGAGTTTGGATTGTAACAATAATTTTAACTGACTTCAAAAAGGTGGAGGTGATGCTATTCGATTATATTTTTTTTTTTGTATAATGTTATGCGATATCTTCACAGATTGTTAACCGATTTTAATAATTATTTTTGTATTAAATAAGCTTTACTTCCAGGGTGGTCCTATTAAATTATTAAGAAAAAAATTTTGCCACTAGGAATGGAAAATAGGGGAACAAATTTCATATTGCAGTCATGTTTAAGTAATTTTGTATGATATCTTCGCAGATTGTGAACTGCGTTCTCATCAAATCAGCGTGATACATAATCATTTATCTAATGAAACTGGAGAACTACATTCTCACCGATTCAGCTTGTTACACAACCATTTATCAAACGAAACTGAAGAACTACCTTCTCACCAACTTAGTTGATACACAACTGTTTATTAAACGAAACTAAAGAACTATGTTCTCATCCACTCAACTGATACACGACTATTTATTAAACAAAACTAAAGAACTACATTCTCACCAACTAAAGAAAAATAAAGAACTATTAGTTTTATTTAATGTGTAGTATTCATATATATGTGTTTACTAAAACTATATATTTACATATATATATATATATATATATATATATATATATATATATATATATATATATACTAAAACTATATATATACAGAATGGGTCCCACATATATGCAATAAATGAAACCATATACTTGTTATCGCCTTTGCTGACGATATAAAAAAATGAACGTAATCGGTCCAGTAATTAGGTCAAAAAGTAGAGTTTTAATTTTAAGCAAATTTGAACATTCTATAGAATTGGGTCACTAAGTCAATGATTCAATGAACTTGAATCCTTGAACATTAAAAAGCGACGTTGCCACGCAGTGCAAACTATTGGTATTGCGACATATCGACAGCGGTGTCTTTTGTCGGCGTGCCACCCGCGTGCAACGTTGTCACTCTTCCAAGGGGTCAAGGTACGTTGTCCAAACAGAGTGTTCACTTTTACTGAATTTATTTTAATATTTATTTTGTTTGAAAATTTCACTTTTTTATTTTACGGGTTTTAATTTAATATTTAATTTTTCTACACTTCTACGGACTAGTATTACTTGTGGTTTCATTTATTGCATATATGTGGGACCCATTCTGTATATATATATATATATATATATATATATATATATATATATATATATATATATATATATATATACTAAAATTTTCTAAAATTTTAAAATGCCTAATATGCATTAAATCTCAAAATATTGATAAAGATTTTTTTTCCAGGGTGCCCCCGGTGACATTGTACATCTATATCGAGCACTTACGTCACGCATCGCTGGTAGTAAAAAAACTGTTAATTGCACTCAACACACAACAGCCCAAAGAGCGGCGGAGAGACTTGAAGCCGCTACTGATGATGCGGATTACCCGGACAAAGCTGACGACGCCTTCAACGATGATGACTCCAGCTACGAGGAAGAGAAGCAAAGCTTTGCCGACGCACAAGCAGAAGGAGGTTGTAAATCAATTATAAACAGACTTGAAAAGGATCCTGAACAAAAGACTGATGAAGATAAATCTCATGTAAATAATGAAATTAACGAGGATAATGAAGCTAAAGCTATAAAACGGAAAGAACCAGTCGACGACGAAACATTGCCGAAAAGACAGTGTCCGGAAATTTTAATACATAGACCATAAAATGTGATTTATTTGTTGTATGAAGAAAACGATAAATTAATTTAAAACCATGCATTAAGCTGTAAAATAAAAAAGAGATCCTCTTAGAGAAACTTATACACTGACAGAATATAAATTTGAAAAGTGCAGTTGAATATTATTTTAGTACAAAGTAACAGGGCTGCAGTATTTACTAATAGTATTTTCGCGATCTGATATCACATTCCAATATTTGCAAAGATAATGCAGCCGGTGGCAGGTTTGGCTATAGCTGATTACCAAAATAATGCATTATGCATAATTGTACATGTGATTTATTTTCTGATCGATGATAACAATAAACATTTTTTACTTAGTGTTTTCTTTCTTTTAACTTTTATACAATACAATGTGTAAGAATCAGTTTAGGGGCAAGAATTGCTTATCTCTATATCAAATGATACGCGAGTCGTAGCCAAGATGATTCATTCATTACGTTCCTTGGGTTTCGTTAGGAGGCAACTGAGGAAAATGACGGAAGATATTGTAGTATCCATATGTATGATAGAGGAATTTCCATCGTATTTATATATTATATTCATATATAGTCTTGCCGATCTCAATAATAATGTAATAATAAAAAAAATCGGTGCATATATGGCTGCTATTCAAATATACTTTCTCTTTTATTTTATTTTTAAAACAAAATGACAAAGTATCAAAAGAACTTATAGTCCACCTCATGGTAAGTGGTTACTGTAGCCCAAGGACACCTGCAACTACTACAAATAAAGAAGGCTGCAGGTGAATTTTCACTTCTGAAAACAAATGGAACAAAGTAATCTGTGATGGAATGCCTGGATTATTAATTTGCTACTTCGCTGAATAGCCGAATCAATAAAATTTTCAAAATAGCATAGCAACGTGAAATGAAAGAGTTTAGCAACAAATTATACCCCTTTTTTTAAAGAACACTAGCTGTTCCGGAACATACAGAAAAACAGACACAAAAATTATAAAAATTGTTTTTGTTTAAAAAATATTTTATATAGCTGTGCCCCGCGGTTTCACCCGCGTATATCACGTGTCTGCGCCGTGCGAGATGACATGACTCCTCGCTCATTTAGTTCAATCATATTGGCTAAAAAATTGGCAAAATGTAGTACTTTTATTCTATCGGCATATGTATGTTATACAGCAAAGTTAAATTTTATCCACTCTCTCCCCCTCCCGGATGAATGCCCCAGACAGTGCCCCAAAACTCGGTTTCTTTCAGTTTTAAAGATAACTGTACACGGTACATGAAAAGTGTGGAGGTACGAAATGATCCATGATGAATTTTCTATCAACCTTTTATACATACGAAAGCGATATCATACATAGTTTTTTGCGCAATATGCCACAAAATATGACCATTTCTTATCTTTAATCGATTTTTTTGCTCAAAGTTTAGATATATTAAAATTTACAACTTTACCGCCAAAATATGTACGACTATAGTAAAGAAGACTCTAACCTGTACGACTGTAACCGACTTGTTTCGGCAGGTGATCTAATTAAATTTTAGAACACAAAAGCTACTATTGTTACTTAATTATGATAGCTAGAATATTCCTTACGCGGACTTTTTTGAAGGTAATAATGAGTACTTTATGTCCAGTTTACACGGGCTTTGTAGCTAAGTGCTTAGTACTTGTCACTATACTAAGCCTCAATATGACAAGTTGAAAAGTAAGCGTTTACACGTTGGAGCCAGTAAAAGTTATTAATGCCCAGACATTCGAAATGGAGCGACGCCTCCTGATTTTGCGCAGTGTGTTTAAGCAGTATTCAAACATTATTTCAAGCAAGATATTGTGATAAGCAGCAACTTTTGCGAGTTTATTTTTACATAAAACCGATCTGTGGTTCCATAAACATTCATAGGATTTAAATTCCTGAATGAACTTCATTGTTTTTTCCGAATTCCACCTTTCCGCAGCCATGATCACATAAGTAAACACGTGTTTTCACTTCCCTGTACGACTTGTCGCTAACTAACTTGTCGAGCTGTTAATACACGGTCAGCAAGCGACAAGTGCTAAGTAAATCGTGGTGGGGGTATCGACTTGTCGCTTAGTGAATAGGATAGTTTTATTGCACTATTCACAAATACTAATACTAAGCACTAATCAGCGTGTTTACACATGAAGACTTAGTATTAGTGACAAGTACTAAGCACTTAGCTACGAATCCCGTGTAAACCGCCCATTAATCATGTACCTAGCACATAATTTCTATGTATTATCAAGTTTTCTCAGCGCACGCCAAATAATGAATTTTATAGGCAAAATTTTGCTACTTTGGGTTACAATTTTCTTAAAGATCTTTTTTTGAAAATAAACTATAGCCTATGTTACTTTGTGATAGTTTAGCTTTCTATTGGTAAAAAATTATTAAAAAATCGGTCTAGTAGTTTTGGAGCTTATTTGGTATAAACAAACAAAAAAAAATCTTTCTTCATAATATTAAGGTGTAATAATAATAACAATAATAATTTTTATTTCAGATATACATATCCATATACATTTTTGTTAGTAATTTACATAAACTATGTTAGTAAAAAAATACAATAATAAAATAAGAATAAAATAAATTATATCTATAGAAAGAGAGCAATCATTTTAGAAACTTGAATGTCCCACCCACATGCATTAGGATCCAGTGCCTCTGAATGGGACTGTCAAGCCTATCTTGAAATATCCTCAAGATACTATTTGAGCTCTTCCGTAGTCTATATAACATTGACGCAGTTCGCTTTCTTAAGATGCCATAAAAATCATCAACACCTTTTTCAGCAAACATGCTTGAAGCACTACAGTGTCTAGGAAGGCCCATTAGCATGCTTAAGGCATTATTATATTGAATTCGAAGCGCATTGTAGGTCCTCTGCGTGTAGTCACACCATAGGCTGCAGGTGTAAAATGTTTGACAGTACGCTTTAAAGAGGGTTAATTTTATGTCATTTGTACACCTAGCAAACCTGCGGGCAAGCATATTGCATCGAACTGCCAATGCGCGTCGCTCTATCTCTATATCATTGTTGTCTGTCAGATATTCGTTAACAATGTGTCCCAAATATTTAAATTGACAAACTCTACTTAATGGCACACCAAGGAGTTTTACTGGCGGCACAATCAAGAGTTTCTTACTGTTAACACGAAACACCAATAACTCACTTTTCTTGGTGTTATAGAAGAGCCCATGTTCAGCAGCGTATGTTTCAAACATAGATAATAATCTACACAACGCACTCACCGATGGACTCTGCAACACCATGGCATTGGCATAACTTATATTATTAAATCATATGACCGTCAACAGAACATCTTACACACCCTTATTTCACTGAGTGCACCAATGAGCACGTTTACGTAGAGACTGAACAGCACAGGTGAAGACAAACCCCCCTGCCTCACCCCGCATTCCAATACATATTCGTCGGATGACTCGCCAGGCCATCTAACCTGGTTAACTTGATGACCGTACCAATATTTTAAAGTGGTGATAAGTTCAACTGGAACGGAAATTTCATGTAGTTTTGTCCATAGTATGTCATAATTAACCAGCATAGCATACACTGGTGTACAAACACACTCTGGGTCTAATATTTGACAGTATCCTTTAGCGACATTATAGCACTCTCTGTCCATAGGCCTGTTCTAAAACCAAATTGAGCATCGTTTAGTTGTATATAGTTGTTAAGTCGTCGTTCCAGCAAACCGTCGAGACCTTTATACCTAGTACCTTTGCCAATACAGTTGCTAAGGAAGGCCTGTAAATAGCCTTATCAGATATATCCACAGTCTTGTTTTTCACTATAGTAATGTTACGCGCTCAAGTCGACGATACACTAGCGCCATCTAGTGTCAGGAACGAGGGCGAGGGGAGCATTGAGAAAATGACATCACAAATCACTCAACCGACAGCGCCATCCGAAGAACTAAGTTTCTAGAAAATCTACACTCGCACACTCGTCCCTTTGCGCGCATTTACTTGAATATTCCGGATGCTTCTTTGCTAATTTATATAAATAGGCGCTGCAAGATGCGATCGAGGCAGTATTGAAGTGGCGAAACAAGCGAAGCTTCGGAGCGGAATAAAGTGAATTAGTGTGTTTAATTATTAGTGTTTTAAGTTTTAATTTGTGTAAAGTAAATTAAAGTGTTAATTTAGGTAATTTTATCGGCAATTTTTATTGTCACGAACCTCAAGCTCGTAACGATTGGTGTCAGAAGTGGGATAAAATCATGCCGATTTTACCTAAGGAGGAAACGGAGGGTGTCCGTACCCGAAGTCAACGCCAGCAGGAGATGGACCAACGAAGATTTGGTGGTGCAACGCCGCAGACGTCGGAGGGCCAGCCACCGGCTGCAGGCCCGTCGGTAGCTCCTACATCTGCAGCACCTGACTTAGGTGCTCTGCTACCATGCTACCTTTCATGCTGCTTTCATGCTACCTTTGGGAAAGAGATAAGGGAGGTGAAGGATAGGGTTGCTCAACATGACAACCGCCTGTCGGAAGCTGAAACCCAAATCAAGGAAGCTAAAACCCAAATCGACCAGTGAACAATCGGGTTGATTATGTGGTGGCTGACGTGAAGAAAACGCTGGACGACCTCAAACTGGGTGATGGAACTACAGCTCCCGTAGTAGCTACTACACCTTCGCTACGTGGGTTCAAAGTGCCACCGTTCGACGGGACTTCTTCCTGGTCAGCCTACAAAATCCAGTTCGAGGCTGTTATGAAGGCGAACGGCTGGAATAAAAGTCAGGCAATGACTGCTCTCACACTAGGCCTGCGCGACCAGGCCTTAACAGTTCTGGAAGCTCTCGGGGAGGAAGTGACTTATGAGCAACTCCTTGAGGCATTGGAGGCGAGATATGGCGACGCTCACCTGGAACATGTCTTTCGTGCGAAAGATCGCGTGCAGCGCATCAACGAAAACCTGCAGCAGTGGGCTCTAGAGGTGGAGAAGCTGGTGCGGAAAGCATACCGGTCTGTACCTGTGCTCATTGAAGGGAACCTGGTGCAGACATTCATCGACGGCATCCGCGATCTGGAAGTCAGAGCTGCTGTGAGGCTCGGGCACCACGAGACGCTTAAGAACGCCTTGGCCCATGCACTGGAGGTGGAAGCCGTGCGGCAGGATCATCGTTCCCATCGCGTCAGGGAGGTTGCAGCAGCTACAGTCCGTGACAGCAGCAAAGGATACAGCCCTTGGTGCTATGGCTGTGGGGAAAAGGGCCATCTTCGATCCAGATGCCCTAAACGAACCGTGGAAAGGAGAGTTGATCGATCTCGAGAGGGTAGTGCAGCTAACGGCACTGCCTGGCGGCGACAGGATCATCGTTCACCTCACGCTAGGGAGGTTACAGCAGTTACGGTTCGCGACCACAATAAAAGATACAGCCCTAGGTGCTATGGCTGTGGGGAAAGGGGCCATCTTCGGTCCAGCTGCCCTAAGCACACCCTAGGAAGGGAAGGTGAACGGTCTCAGAAAGGAAGTGCGGCTAACAGCACCGCCCAGCAGCAGTAGGAATACAACTTTACTATCAGACACTGCAGCGGGAAATCTCACGGCAACGCAGATGCATTGACAAGAAGACCTTGTCCTGAAGATTGCAACCATTGTAGTAGGCAAGAGAGTAAGGAGGATGCTCAGGACAGACCACCTCAGCAACGGGTGGAAGGACAGCCTACGACATGCACAGCAGGAAGATCCGGACATCAAGCCGATTCTGGGATGGATGAAGGCCCGTGCTACCAAGCCTAAGTGGAGGGACGTCTCAGCGATGAGTTCAACCACGAAAAGCTATTGGGCCCAATGGGACAGCTTGCTGATTCAGGATGGAGTCCTGTGCCGTAAATGGGACAATGGTCGAAGAGACAGCTGTCGTTTGCAAATGGTTGTCCCTAAAGCTAAAGTGCCGAATGTTCTACAGCTGTGCCATAATGGTCGTTCAAGAGTCCATCTGGGAGTTAAACGAACTCTACTGAAGGTCCGAGAACAGTTTTACTGGGTCCATTATCGTGACGATGTCGAGGATTGGTGTCGTACATGTACAAGTTGTGCGGCCGTGCGGGGACCTCAGACACGTAGTATAGGAGCACCAAAATTGTACAATGTTGGTGCACCACGGGATAGAACAGCCCTTGACATTGCGGAGCCGTTACAGAAAGGCGCAAGAGGGACTCCTAAGATCGTCCATGTGAATCGTTTGGCGCGTTATTATGGGGCCGATAATGCTCGGGACGAGCATGTCTTAGGAGGGGGCAGTGTTACGCGCTCAAGTCGACGATACACTAGCGCCATCTAGTGTCAGGAACGAGAGCGAAGGGAGCATTGAGAAAATGACATCACAGATCACTCGACCGACAGCGCCACCCGAAGAACTAAGTTTCTGGAAAATCTACACTCGAATACTCGTTGCCTGGCGCGCATTTACTTGAATGTTCGGGACGCTTCTTTGCTAATTATATAAATAGGCGCTGCAAGATGCGATCGGGGCAGAGTTGAACTCGGCGACACAAGCGAAGCTTCGGAGCGGAATTAAGTGAATTAGTGTATTTAATTATTAGTGCTTTAAGTTTTAATTTGTGTAAACTAAATTAAAGTGTTAATTTAGGTAATTTTATCGGCAACTTTTATTGTCACGAACCTCAAGCTCGTAACAGTATTATATAGATTATCAATAATTATTCTGTGGTCAAGGTTATTACATATTTGATCGCAACATGTACTTAACTCCCCAGGAAAATCAATATCAATAGAGTAATTACATAATGATTTCTTAAATTTACGCGAACACTACACATTGAATAAAACTAAATTTACGGATTCCATCGCGTTTATTTAACTGATTTTACTTATTTTTAATTCCCGACGTTTCGGGTGCTTTACAGCAACCATGGTCACGGGGGGGGACTGAGATGTTTGACGTCCCAATGTCATTGTTAGCCCGGCTACCTTCAGTTTTTAAATATTAATTTTTGCTCCGATTTACGCAAAACGAACTTACAGTATCTTGAAGTCTTGCAGTGGTATGCTTGGGTTTGGGTTTAATTTTGTTAATTATACAACCATCTTCTCTATTGAAATTAGGATGTTTTTTAATTTCAATAGCCTCGCGTATCATCCTTGGTAGGAATCGGTGTTCTTTTGCGAGGATTTGTGGCTTATCAAATCTGATGTAATGGTGGGGACGATCTTGAACATGTTCACAGACTGCAGACTTCCCGGAGCGTCGGTGCTTCACGTTAGCTATATGTTCTTTCACGCGGGTTTTTATGGATCTTTTTGTTTGACCTATGTAAGAGAGACCACATTCACAATCTAACTTGTACACTCCTGCATATTTTAGAGGGATATTACACTTGACGGATGGTAAAAATTGACTAACCTTCTTCGGCGGCTTGTAGTACGTTTTAATGGAAGCTCGCTTCAAGATGTAGCCAACCTTGTCTGTGACTCCTCTGACATATGGTAGTACAGCAGGCACACGCTCGACTGTGGCCGGCTTCACTCGGTCACTGTGACGTAGGCGCGGGATCCGAAGCTTGTTGTCTTGCAACACTTGCTTGACATGCTGCAGCTCGGCGGCCAGATGTTTTCTGTCACAGATCCCTCGTGCTCTCTGAAACAAAGATTTACCCACGGTAGCTAACTGTGAAGGATGATGGTGAGATTCACCATTTAAATATCGGTTGGTATGGGTCTTTTTTCTATACACAGTGTGACCAATAGTGTTATCAGGATTTCGAATGACAAAAACATCTAGGAAAGCTAAAGAATTATTTGCCTCTAACTCCATTGTGAATTGTATTTTAGAGTTTATAGAGTTAAGGTGGTTTAAAACTTAACTCTATAAACTCTAAAATACAATTCACAATGGAGTTAGAGTCAAATATTAAGGTGGTTTAAAACCAGTCACAGAGGAGTTTTAATTGTATAACAATTCCTTTTCTGTCTCAGTTATTATTGTGTTTTGTTATTTCTTCAATATTATAAATAATAAATGATCCATGTCCTTTATCATATAAAATTTATTGCTTTTTACTTTCGATGGGGTGACACCACCAACTTCCGCACCGAGTGCCACCAAAGGTAAGCTACGCCACTGCTCAAAGCAACCTATGAATAATAATCAATTGAATAGGTACCCGTCCCTCTAACGTTATTATATTGGTTTTGACACCAAAACATTAATATGTTTATGATTCCCGACGTTGTTTTGATTTATTTTCTAAACCTTTCCCATTATATGTGATATTATAACTAGGTTTTTCTTTTTCACAAAAATTCCTTAACAAGTCTAAAAAACGTGCATAAACAGGCGTTTTCTTAGTAACAATATTAAACAGTAGGCGTTAAATGATGTATTGCTGTTTCTATGGAGAGCCCGAATCCTAAAAGATCAAAAGAGCATAATTTCCAGGTCTAGGTCGTAACATACTTTGATCCTTAATTATGGATATTATGTTCTTAGAACATTTTTTTTTCTAATGGGACTATAATATTGTCTGCAACCGTTCAAAAGCTTATTTTCAGAAAATTTACCTTCCCTTTACTTGTCATTTGAAAGCGAGCGAAGCCGCGGGAAAAGCTAGAATTTAAATATTTAGTGTAAACAAGGTGCATCTAAAACTGCCTATTAAAGTCTTCAAATTTGATTAGGCTGCGTAGGTACATCGTTCACTGGGGTGTAGAGTACTTATTAAGGAAAAACATAATTGTCATTTAATTACAAACATGATTTGTACTTCAGTAATTGGCTAGTTGCGAAAATTAACACCTTGGTACAGTTTGTTTTCATTGTAGAAATATACAGAAGATGTTTTTTTTTTAAATATTATTTATTGAATAACTTGCGCGGCTTCATTTTAGATGAAAACACAAGATTTACATTAATTATTATGTGATCATCTTCAGCCTCATCGTCAGTGTTGTGTGGGTGACATATTCGTCACTTCAGGAAAATCACAACAACCGGAGATCTTAGGAGCTTTAAGTGGAATTACCAGGAGGAATTAATAGGAGGAATTTACCTTGGTGGGCTCCGACCGATATTTTATATGTGGTAGAGCTATGCTGCAGCTATATTATGGTTGTAGCACGAATGGATCGGCTCGACACGGGAAGGATCACGCTCTCACAGAATACCAGCGTAACATAGCAGCTTAATACTGCTATATTTCGTATGGTGAGTGTAGAGATCCGGAGACCCATTTTTTCTGGTAACGAGGTATTCCATCTTATTCCTTAGAGGTGACAACGCATCTGCATTTTAATTCTTAATAAATGTAGATTCACAGCATCCACTTAACATCAGGTGGACTGTGTGCTCGTTTGTCACCGTTATTCCATAAACAAAATCAAAATAGCCATTTTTATTTCTCGTAAGTACCGTAAACCGGCGGCGCGAGGCAAGTAAAGGTATGGTTCAAAATAAGGTACCTTTTCGAATAGTCCGGTTTACGATTGTCAATTCATCTGTATACGATGATATAGCAGTGTCAAAAGTGTGAATCCTTACAACGGTACGAAAAAAGTAAATTCTTTCTTCAACTGGGGGACCCAATTCCAGCTGTGTCTGTTACGGGCTGAAGAATAAAAGTAACAAAATATTCTATGTCGTTTTCATTATTTTTATTTTATGTAAATCGGAAGGTAAGCGAGCACACAGTCCACCTAATGGTAAATGGATGCTGCGACCCATAGAAATTTACATCTGTGTTTGATTAATAATCAAAATGCAGATGCATGATGCTGAGGACTAAGATTGAATGCCTCATTTCCACTGAAACGGGTCTCTGGTTGTCTTACCATTACCGTACACTTACCATACGAAACACAACAGCATTAAACTGTTATTTTATTCTGTGAGAGTTGGTCCTTTCCCGGCCGAGCCGACCCGTTCGTGCTGCAGACATAATATAGTTGCAACATGACTACGTGTAAAACAAATGTTAGCTTATTCAGCAAGAAAACGTGGTCTGCATTACAGCACTACTCTTAGAGAATTGAATTACATATACATAATATAGTAATTAAGGTAAATATTTAACTATAAAACATTAATTGTTACTTTATAATTTACTCGTATATGTAGAGTCATGATGGCTCAGGGGCTAAGTGCTCGCTGTGAATTTCACAGTAAGCGAGCAACCCGCGTTTGATCCTCGCCGGCACCAATGAAATTGTTAATTGCAATTTTAAGTGCTGATTTAGCACGTGCTCGGCGGTGCAGGAAAACATCGTGAGGAAAATTGCATGTCTGAAGATAAGAAAAAAATATTTCGAAGACATGTGAAGTTCGCCAACTGGCATTGGGGCAGCGCAGCGGACCTTTTCTTGCCCTAAAACCCTCTCAGAACTGAGAGGAGGGCTGTGTCCAGCTGTGGGACGTATATAGGTTGTAACTTCAACTTTATTATAATTACATTTTAAATTTTAATAATAATTATTTAGTATAAAATGCTAACAGAATCAGATCGCAAAAAAAGTCTGTGCTTTAGGTTAGTAATAAAAATCAACGAAACAAGCTTTTAAAAAAAATCAGATTTTTGCATCAACCTTTACCTATATGATAGACGATTCAATATATTGCGCCTATATTTCTGTAGATTGACACAGTGATAACCTATTATTGGTGCCTTAGACGACGTTACGACTAATCACGGTTTGTTATTTAGGTAACGACTGCAAAAATGTATAACACTTTCGATGCTTTCAGGCCTCATTTCAACGCCCTCGCAAGAGTTGGATATTTTAAAATGTTGAAAACGATGACCCTGGATAAGCTGTATTTGCATAAAGCTTATAGAACTGTTGTTTGGATCCTTGTCATCACTTACAATTTACAACATCTTTTCCGTGTCATTCAGGCAAGTTTTTAATATTACACATATTAATATAAATGGGCACTAACGAAGATAAATAAAAACTTGCATACGTCTTAGTACTTGAAATTGTCTTCCCTTTTTTATAGGAGATGGGGAAAACGCTCATACCACTCACCTGATGGTATCCGTTGCTGGCCTTTTAAAAAGGAGTAGGCTCTTTTCAATCCACACTCTGGACCGATACCTTGACTTAGAGACCTTCAAGGTCTCTAAGTCAAGGTATCGGTCTGGAGTTCTCCGCCTTCTCATTTTAAGCTATTAATCTTTTTGCATACTAATGTTAGTAAATATCTTAGGAACTGAAAATTTTCTGATTTCTAATCACACCCGCTCTTACCAAGGGTATATTGTTGAATTATACAGGATTACTGGTAATTCGACATATTCCCGCCAAGGCGTGATAGTTGGGGTCATAACCTATCAAATGAACCATAAAATGCATTATACAAATTTGGGCCAATTTCGAGATATTTAGGTTTAATTATTTTTTTCAAAAATCCTAAAAAGTCTGGTGTTAAAAATTACTAAAAAAAACTCACAGCTGTATTATTTTCGTTTTATTATTTTTACTTAATGAAAACGTGGATACTTATTTATCAATACTACAGTGTGCAAAAAGTCTCATCATTTTCGAAGTAACGCTACTAAAAGTACAACTTTTTCCAAACAGAAGATAAGTAATTAAAAATAAAAATGGTTTTGTGAAAAATAATTGTATGTGACCAATTGTGCAAATAATGTTTAAAAACATCCCTACTTATCTAGCTACCCAACGAAGTATCAATTTAGCTTATAACTTAAATAGTACAGAAAAAACTTGAAAAAAAGGGATCAGGTGGACAAGTTCCGATTAGCAATGTTTTGGGTATTCCCAAACAATCGCTTCTCGGAACCTTATCAACAGCTGCGGGAATGCTCGTACAAGATTGTGCGTTTGAACTTACGCTATCGTTTACATTTAGTGTGAAATTAGAAACAAGTTACACAAGAAGAAACTGTTCAATCAGTCATCAGTATTACAGGCATCGTACACACGCGCGCATATCCCTCCCTGTTACACTTAAAGAAGTTGAGTTTCAAAGTTTTATGAATCACCAAGACGCGGAGATCATGCAAGGCAATCATTTTAAAACGAGGACTACGTAGATATCTTTTATCTCTATGGATATTGTGACGGTGACGCTGCAGCTGCTCGCCGTGAATACCTACAGCGCTACCCTAATCGCCGACCACCCCATGTCACAGTGTTTAGTGCAGTGTATCGTAGAGTACGAGGGACTGGAAATGTTTAAAGGCAACAACGTGATGCTGGTAGGCCACGTGGCATACCCCGTATACCGCGTGCGGAAGATGATTTGAAATTTTGAGTAAATTTCAAGAAGATCCAACCACTTCCACGAACATAGTGGCTCGTTGCTTAGGTGTATCGCAGTGGAAGGTCTGGTCTACTGTGCATACTGCGGGGCTTTATCCGTACCGCTACACACCAGTGCATGTGATGGAAGAAGGAGATCCAGTTAGAAGATTGGATTTTTTGTAGATTTATGTTGAACGCAGATGCAGAAGATCCAATGTTTTTTAGAAAAATATTGTGGACTGATGGGTCGAAGTTCGATCAAGACGGTATTACAAATTACCATAATTTACATTTTTGGACTCCAAAAGAGCAAAGAAATCCTGGCAAAAAGAGACCTTCTAAATCACAAAGAAGATTTTCACTAAATGTTTGGATGGGGATTATTAACAACAATTTAATTGGGCCTTATTTTCTGCCAAACTATTTAAGCGGCGAAAATTATGAAACATTTTTAAGGGAGGACTTATCCGGATTGTTACACATGTTCCTCTCGCCACAAGGCAAAACATGTGGTATCAACATGATGGGTGTCCTGCGCACTGTCGTGTAACTGTGCGACGATGGCTGGACGAAAATTATCGACATCGGTGGATTGGCAGAGGAGGACCAATTCCATGGCCAGCAAGGAGTCCTGACATAACACCGATGAATTATTATGTCTGGGGGCACATAAAGAGCATCGTGTACTGCGACAATGTGCCAGTGCCGACCCTTCATCAACTGAGAGACCGCATTATCAACGCGACATACGACATAAGACGAACATTAACCTCAAACGTTATTAAAAGCGAATTAAGAAAACTAATGCGTGTCTGTATAGGGAATAGGGGCTCCCATATTGAGCAAAATTTTTAAATCGTGTTAAAATAAATAAAGCTAATTTCAATCAAGTGCTTTGTTTCATTTCCTTAATTAATATTGGTTAAAAATAAAACACAAATTCCTTTGTCTGCTTAGAACTCGATTACCTGACCTCATTCTTTAATTTTTTTTTTCTGTTTCTACATAAGAAAACTACATAGTTGATACTTCATTAGGTAGCTAGATAAATAGGGATGTTTTTAACATGATTTGCACAATTGGTCACATACAATTATTTTTCACAAAATCATTTTTATTTTTAATTACTTATCTTCTGTTTGGAAAAAGTTGTACTTTTAGTAGCGTTACTTCGAAAATGATGAGACTTTTTGCACACTGTAGTATTGATAAATAAGTATCCAGGTTTTCATTAAGTAAAAATAATAAAATGAAAATAATACAGCTGTAAGTTTTTTTTTTAGAAATTTTTGACACCAGACTTTTGGGATTTTTTTAAAAAAATAATTAAACATAAATATCTCGAAATTGGTCCACATTTCCATAATGCATTTTATGGTTCATTTGATAGGTTATGACCCCAACTATTACGCCTTGGCGGGAATACGTCGAATTACCAGTAACCCTGTATACAACGACTGTAGAAGACGAAAGTGAGAATCCACTACTATCTACTCGGTCATACGGCCTTTTCTTATATGAAGTCTGTCTAGGTAGATATCAGCCTCTCAACTATTTCTACCGTAAAATAGCAGAGCTTTTCATACGTGGTAGAACCACGCTGCAGCTTCTTATGGTTGTAGCACGAATGGGTCGGCTTGACCGGGGAAGGACCACGCTCTTACAGAATACCAGCGTAAAATGTCAGCGTAATACTGTCGTGTTTCGTATAATGAGTGTATAGATCCGGAGACACTTTGTTACTGGAAACGAGGCATTCCATCTTAGTCCTCAGGGGTGACAACGCATCTGTGTTTTGATTCTTAACCGAGGATGATGTAGATGTCTATAGGCCACGGCATCCACTTACCATCAGGTGGACTGTGTGCTCGTTTGTCATCCTTATTCTATTAAAGCAAGCTTGCACTGCTGTGTTCCGCTCTGAAGGGTATATAGAGAGCCAGTATCATTACAAACTGTGAGGCATTCCATCTCAGTTGTCAGGATGATAACGCATCTGTAACCTTCTTTGTTTGCCGTTGGCTGCAGGTATCTATGAACTTCAGTCGGCACTTGTCATCAGGTGGACTGTAATTTGGATTGTCACTTCAAATAACAAATGTAACTATAGGCATTTATTTAAAAAAAAATCAGTCTAGCTATGTTAATTTGTTGTGCGCAGGTCAGACACAGCACCGATGAAATGGTGAACACATTGTTCATCCTTTTAACAACTTTGAACACTTTGGGCAAGCAAGTCGCTTTTAATTTCCGTACGAGCCGCGTCCATCGCATACTCGCCACTATTAATGGTATAGTAACAACTTTCACTATGTCCCATCACGTCGTTTTAAATTAGTAATGCAACAGACCTCTGTTTCTGCATCCGCAACTGCGGAAGGTCTGCAAGCTTTATGACATCCGTATCTGTTTCTGTTTCCGCAACTTTTATAACGGAAATTTGATCGGAACTTTGATGATGACATACCTTACCTTAATGAAGTCCAACTTACGTCATCATCAATGATGCAATTCATGTTTCACCAGTAAAAAGAGTGACAATCTCTTTTATAGACCTAATCCACCTTCAGGGGTGGTGTCAATGAAATGCACACAAATATCGTAATCTTCTGCCATTAGTACGGCAATATTTAACAGTTCCTCTAAGCAGCGTCACCACGGAGCAATTATTTAGCGAAGCTATTCTTATATATGAAGAACACCAAAACAGATTTCTTGGTATTAAAATATAGCTTACCGCTACTTAAGTGTAAATGTTAATTTAATAAAAACATATTTGTCATAAATTGTACTTTTTACACAGTATTTAACACTTCCGCTTCTGCATCCGTTTCCGTTTCTGTTTCCGTTATGACAATTACGTTGCATCAGTAGTTTTAATCACTGTTACCTAAGCCTAAGAAAATTGATAATTTATTGTTTTTGCGTTCACTACTCCAGTGCTAATTGGTGGCATCAGTGGTTCTGAAAAAATTGCCTCCAAGATATTTTGACGTAGATTGACTTATGCGGATCTACGTCAAAATATTTTTTTATAAAACATAAATCTCGCGACTAACTTTTATACCATATAAAATACGTAATGTAATAATTGATGGGTTTGTTTACTTTAACTTCCCTCTAGGAGATCAATGACTCCAAAAATTAAAAAGTTATTGTTATCATTTCGATTTTCGAAAATCGAGTTTTCATCATATCTCAACGTTTCGAGGTTCTTTTCTTTTTGAACTTTATTGAAGTGAAAACTTTTTTAGCATCGTTGTGATTTGAAAGTCTATGAAACGAAAAAGCGACAGTAAAAAGAGAACAGACACATAAATTCATAAGATTTAACGTGGTAGAAAATGAGATAGGAAGCATTATAGCTCAATGCTCGCGAGAAAAAAGTCGTGAACGCCGCCAAAACGGCGTCGCTTACGCGTTTTGTTCAACAGGGTAAGAAAGTGTCGTGTGCCTACGAAATAAGCAACCAGTGAAGAACAGCCAAACCTCAACTTCGTAATAGGTAAAATTTATACGTCTTTTTGTAATTAGTAAGTACTATATAAAGTATATCGAAAAGAGTATAAACATGGTCGGATTAAAATATGTCGTTTAAATAAAATAAGTAATAAAATAAATGACTCCAAGTAATACTAATTTGAATAAAAAATGAACCATCACAACCGGTAGTAGGTAGTTTCGTGCGTTTCCCATCTGTATGGTTCACCTTTCATAATCTATGATTTTCATATAGAAATGACAGTCACGTGGCAGCGGCACTAAACGGTAAAAAAATTAACAAATACAGCTAACCATTTTGAAAAAAAAAACATTCAATAAAAATTCATGATTTCATAAATTTCATTTTACGTACCACCTTGGGTGTCAATTAGTTCTTCGATAAAGTGACTACCTATAGAATGAAGTAGGTGGCGCTATTATGATTTTACTCGAAAGAAAATATAATACCTATGTGTCTAAGATATAATATATTAAAACGATTCTTACATTTATTTACAATTAAATTAAATTTTCTTATATAATATGCCGAACTTGTAGTTTATTTATATTTCATTTCATTCGAAGGTTTCACTTCTGTCGCGTGTGAGCTGCACGCATGTTTTTTTAATAATTCGGGCTATATATTGTGTGTGTGTGTCCGATCGAAAAGCGACATCTGAAAGCGCCTCGACGAACATAGATATCATGTGAATTTAGAGCGAATCGGCACAGTAGATTCTGAAAAAACCTCAAAAATTCGAGCTTTTTATTTTCAAAAAAAATTAATGGCCAATTCAATCTATATATTTAAAACATAAAAATTTTTTAACATTGATATGGTCACTATAAAATGTTGTTAGGTTAGCTAATTACGTAATAACTTAAAACAGAAGCACCCTTAAGTAGGGACTGAATAAATTAACCGACTTGGATTACATGGATCTCACAACTTTTTACGGTAGAAGAACGGAGTTGCGAGGCTTGGTTTTTTTACAAGTTATGTTTTTGATGACATAAAGAACTTACCTTTAGTTGTCTATTCTTTTCAATTTTCTTTTTTTTATTATATTCTTAACCTATGAAAAGTTTTCATCCTTGTTCTGCAATCAGAGGATTCTTAATTACAAACTGTAGTAGATTTGAAAAAACTACACAGGGCAAACTTCTTACTTTAAATTACAATTTTAAAATTACGATTAATAATTTTAATAGTGCCAGGATTGAAGGCAGCATTCACGAGTGTGTAAAATTTTCTGATGCTTTCTTAGATGAATGACGAATTTGGTTTCGACGACTTTCACGCTACTTCCGTGTACCTATACTTGATTTAACAACCGTTCAGAAAATGTTTTAGACGCTTTTGTTACTCTGAGATTATTTTTGCATGACCGTAGAACATTAAAATGCGTGGATTCGAGTGAAATTAAGAAAACATTTGAAATTCAGAAGCAATATTTTCTTTGAAAATTGCTCACAACCATGGGTATGATACTTAAGGATCTTGACTGTTTAATCAAGAGTACTAAGGTTTAAATATTTAAGACAATGTCAATGCAACGCACTAGAAGATTTGATTGTATGTGTTTTGTTTTTATTCTATTCTTACGAGAATATAAGATGTGGCCGTAGAAGGAAAAGGGGAGATCTCTCGCCGGAAAAGGTGTTCTGCCCGGGGAGCGGCCAACACTCCGTGTGATAGTTCGGAGATGTTCTATATATACTGTTTATGATTCGGAATTTTGATAACGTGATTTAGGCTTTCGGTGTGTTTCGCTTGCGGCGCGACGACAGCGCCGCTACATCACCCCCCTGCTCAGACCGGAGGTAGATAGTGCAGCCTCGTTGCCGACGAATGTGCAAGTGCCAGGAGATTGCCTTGAGTCTGCGGTGAGTCGAGAAGAAGGCAAGTAATCTGCGAGAGTGCCGTGAAGCAGAGGCCTTTGCATCTGCTGAGCTAATGCTGAGCTAATTTAGAAGTTGTCGAAATCGGAATGGATAACAATAAAACTTGATCATGATGTAGAAGTTAAAATTTGATAATATTTACAGGGTTTGTCTTTGCACCGAGAATCAGATATCACGAAGATGTTTTGAAGAGCAACGCTGCGTCTATGCTGCGATTGTTAAAGTTGTATCTTTACGCTGTATTAATTTGTTGTGGTCTGTGGACTATATTTCCGATAGCAAATAGAGCTTTGGGTGAAGATGTGCAGTTCACTTTCTATTTTCCGTTCAATACTCGTAAATCACCCGTGTAAGTAAATAAAATTAGTTGCATAATGTTTCAAATATTAACGGTCTGGCAATTTTCTTTACAAAACTTTTATTTTATAGGATAGGTTGACAAACGAGCACACAGCCCATAGACATCTACATCTATCCTCGATTACGAATCAAAATGCAGATGCGTCGTCACCCGTGAGGATTCAGATGGAATGCCACGTTTCCAGTAAAAAGGGTCTCCGGTTCTCTACACTCACCATACTAAACATAGCAGCATTAAGCTACTATTTGACGCTGGTATTCTGTGAGAGCGTGGTACTTCCCCGGTCGAGTCGACCCATTTGTACTACAACTATACTACTTATATAACTGCAGCATGGCTTTACCACGTAAAACTAACTAGGGATTAACTAAAACTAGGTATTAATTTACTAAAGTGGATAATTTTGCCTGAAGTTTTTACCTAATCGGTCCGTAAAAGTTTAATTTCACACCTGGCAGGCAGATCGACGAACAAAGTGCGAGACGTCTCACAACTTCGACGCTGCTGTACTTCGTCGGCCTGGATATTTTACGTCTGACGTGAGATGGTTATCGCCATCTATCGGAAGCCTTAACAGTTAACATGTTCAGGCATTTCCAATAGTCACCACTTACAATACCTACGGTATGAAACGGGGTTATGAATTCTCTTACGTCACCACCACAAGACAAAATTTTCCTAGATATCAGTTTATATATTTTAGGATATTATATACTCGTATATCATTGAATTATAAGAGTGCATCGTTAATGACCTTACAGCTACATAAAACGAATCGAATCTAACGAAACAAATGCTAAAATCCATTCTGCTCTGTTTTTATGCTGCAGCCCGTGGACACCTGTATAATACTTCGACAACAGAATAAATAATAGCTTCGACCCATATCCAGCGACTGACTTTTAAGAGGGAAAAAGAAGAAATAAATAAAAAGTTTAATACAGAAATCGGTGGAAATTTAAAACGTTATTAAGTCCTTAATCCGTGCTATAACCTAATTCTAAGAATACATTTCACACAATCCCTAATGAAAATGCAATAAAAATCGTGCTTGATACGAAACATCCACACTAAATCATTTTATTGACGACAGAGCGAGGATACTTTTGGTAATGGCTGATTTTAAGTATGACGATAAATTCAAAATACGTTTTAAATTGTTTACTGAACACAATGAATCAAATGCAACATTCGATATAACATACGAGTACGAGTATGCCTCATCCTCAAACTACGCTCGAGGGAGACGATACTGCCACTAGCATAGAATACTATAATACACAATAAAATGGCTGTCAACCTTATTTTATAAGACGATAGGCGTCGCCGGGAGCACACATACAAGCAATAACGTCGTATTATCACTACTACAAACCCGATTCGCTGTGTTGACAGACAGATTTGAATACATATTTATTTGTAAATAGTGCAATTTGGCATTTTCTAAATAATTTGCATGGGAAATTTGGGAACGTTTGTAACGTCAAAACACATCTCGTGTTGACGTTTATACGTGTGAATTGATGTGTTAGTGACATTTTAGTGGCCACACGGGCTCCGCCCACTCCTCCGTTCTATTATGTATGTATTATAGTATTCTATGGCCACTAGGGAACTTTTATTGTTCAATGGCTTTTTGTCGGCTCTACGAATTAACTCTTTCACTGTCCGCGTGTCAGACACGATAATAGGACAATAGCAATCAACTATATGTAGTAAACGCCACAGAGAAAGGATTAACTTATACATCATGGATGCGAGAGATCTAGTACTGGTATCGATAATTCACCAGCCTTCTTAATTCATGGCGATTATGCAAATCCTTCCGAGAATACGAGTATTAGATAGAGCAATGGACTTTTACCGGAGTTAGTAAAGTCGAAAAAATGATCGAGTTAACCGTTGATATTATGTTGGTCACTATAACTAATATGTTATTATAACTATAACTCTAATATGTTATTATGTAAAACAGTTACGATTGATTTTTTCTAGGTTTGAGCTAACCTTAGCGTATATGTCGATATTGAATACCTATCAAGCCTATGGTTGTGTGACGATGGACTGCACAATCGTAGCTTTCTACGCCCAAGCGAAGACCCAACTGCAAATCTTAAGATTTAATTTGGAGCACTTAGCGGATTTAGATGGAAATATAAAAAATTGTGATTTTTTTGAATTAGGAACGTATAAAGATGTTGCCGATAAGCGATTTAATCGTTTGCTGCGTAAAAGATTTGTATCGTGCGTGAAACATCATCAGCAAATTGTATGGTAAGAAAAAAAATGTATAAGTAGTATTTTGGCCATGAATCCTTCATAGAATTATTTGTCAATAGTACTCGTAGTCAACAGTACTCGTATGAGTTGAAAGCTCCTCACGTACGCAGTTGAGTTTATGGATATTGCAACAATAGCTTGGAATATTACATTATGCTGTACAGCCTAGCTGCAGCTATATTATGGTAGTAGCACGAATGGGTCGGCTCTACCGGGGCAGGACCACGCTCTCAGAAATAACGCCATAAAATAACAGCTTAATGCTGCTGTTTCGTATTGTGAGTGTAGGGAAACGGAGACCTCTTTTACTGAAAATGAGGCTTTTTCCATCTAAGTCCTCAGGGGTGACAATGCATCTGCATTTTGATCCTTAATCAAGGATAAATGTAGATGTCTACCGTTCACAGCATCCATGCTCCTTTGTACCCTTATTCTATAAAAAAAGAATAGTTTATTAAATGGACAGACTAAAGCGACTACGCATCCTCATACCACCAGTAGTGAAGGTCATTACAATAAAAAATTAAAATACAATAGAAAATATAGGTACGAAATTGTCATGACGAGCAGTATTACAGGGTACGAGGGCGACACTGAAAGTTTTTAGAACGGGCCACTTGTAAGCGATATAATGAATAAATTAGTTCAAATTTTGAAATTGGAACTCTTTGTCAATATTATTGTGTATGTATTTTATGCCGCCAAATCGTAAACAAATGACAAATTATGTCATTTGTTTACGATTTGGCGGCAAATTGAAAATTGTCTGTATGAATTTAACGCGAGAATTTATTGTACAATGATTTTTTATGACTTTCGATGTCATTTAAGTCAAGAAGAAAGTTATGATAGACTTCGGTTAGCTTTTCACGATGAAGCCCCATCTAGTGCCACTGTTTACAACTGGTTTAATGAGTTTAAACGTGGTCGCACTAATCTCACCAATGATCTGCGTGAGGGACGGCCTTCTACGGCGACGACTGAATATAACATCAGTATTGTGCGGCGTATGATAGAGACTGACAAAAGAGTGACCTATCAGCAGATTCAGACAAGCTTAGGCATCAGTATGAGTCAAGTGCACAAAATCCTCCATGAACATGATTGATTAGTGTCGTGAAATGGATCAAAGATTTGACGGAGGTGACTCAAATGCTGTGATCGACATACGGGTGAAGAAAGCTGGATTTATTGTTATGATCCTGAAACTAAGAGACAGCCTGCTGTTCGGGTTGTTTCGTTCCGAAGAGTTGCCAATTAAAGTGAAGAGAGGTCGAAGCGTGGGAAAAAAGATGGTGGCCTCGTTCTTCGGAAGGACAGGTCATTACGCAACCATTGTTTAAGAGGATCAAAAAACCGTTACTTCAAAGTGGTTCACTAACAATCGTTTGTCACTTGTCTTGGAAAAAATTCGGGAGAAACAACCTCGCAGTAGGATCCTCCTTCACCACGACAACGCCTCGTCGCACACCGCCAAGCAAACAATCGACTACTTGGCGACATCAGACGTGGAATTACTGGGTTACCTGCCCTATAGCCACGACCTCGCACCTTGCGAGTTTTATTTATTTCTGAAAATAAAATAAAAACTTCGAAGAAAACGTTTTATGGACGCCAAAAAGCATTGGCTGCGTTTCAAACGAGTGCCAAGAAGACGGCACGTCTAAAGACGAGTGGGCAAAGTGCTTTTCTCATTGATTCCATCGGATGCAGCGATGTATTGATTTAAATGGACACTTTTCAGTGTCACCCTCGTATCAGTACTGCATTGACAGTGATGCCAGTTAGTGCATTTTTGGAAAGGACTATAATCAATAATAGATTAAGAAATTAATGAAATTAACATCTCCCTTAGGGGTTATTCATAAATGGATTTTGGAAGCTGGTGCTTCTTATGTGGTCCCATTTAAATTTGATCAAGGTCTGACAAGTAGTTTTTGAGTTATCGTTAATAAATTATATTGAAGTTGGTTGTAAAATTTTTTTAAATTTATCACTTATTGCCAAATGCTTTGCTTGAATTGTGGCCTACCACTCATTTTAATTTAAGGTTCGCTAAGGAAGTGGAATCAATATTTGGAGAGGCTATGGTTGTACAGTGCTTTGTGACGACATGGGTCGTCTGTATGACTGTTTACAAGATAGTTGGTGTAAGAACTTTTAAGAAAAAACACTTGATTTTATTATTTACTTTAAGAAATATTACATGATTTTATCATTTACTTTCAGCTGAGTATATTTTCCGTGGAGTTCTTTTCTATGGGGATGTATCTAGGCTGTATGTTAGCACAACTATTTATTTACTGTTATTATGGAACGCAGCTTAATGATGAAGTAAGTGTTCGATTTATTTTAAAATTATTTATATTTGTTGACTTATAATAAAAATAAAAAAATAAAACATGCGTGCAGCTCACACGCGACAGAAGTGAAACCTTCAAATGAAATGAAATATTAAATACAAATACTTTACGACAAATGATTTATTTAATATTATAATTTAAACCACAAGTTCGGCACAAAATATAAGAAAATTTAATTTTATACATACATACATAAACACTCACGCCTGTCACCCAGAGGGGTAGGCAGAGACTACAGACTTCCATTTAGCACGATCCTGACATACCTTTCTCGCGTCTTCCACATCCATATACCTACGCATACATGCTCGTCGGTTAAGGGTACTCTTAATTTGGCCCATTTTTAGTATATCGCCAATTTGGTCGACAAACTTCCGCCTAGGACGTCCCTTTCCGACTCTTCCATTCACTTCTGCAACATATATTTGCTTTGTCAGTCTTTCCGCATTCATTCTTTCTACATGACCAAACCACCGAAGCATTCCTTTCTTAATCCTGGTCACCGCATCATCTTGCAAACCACACTCTTCTTTTATCACACAGTTTCTCACCCTGTCACTCAGATTCAGCCCTAACATACTCCTTAGCGACCGCATTTCTACTGCATTTATTCTACTCTCGTGCTTCTTCTGTCACACCCAACTTTCACTACCATACGTTAAAGTAGGGACTAATACAGCACTGTGAATTGCCATACGTGCCTTTTTTGACACATTCTGACTTTTCACAATAGAGTGTAGAGCCCCATTTACTTTATTTCCTGCATTCACTCGTCGTTCAATGTCCTTATCATATCTCCCACCCCTGCTGAATACACATCCCAAATATACGAACTCATCCACTTGCTCAATTAACTCTCCTTCTATTCTTATTTCACATACCGTTTTGCTTTCATCTCTTTCAAAAACCATCACTTTCGTCTTACTTGCGTTCACTTTCATTCCCCTTTCTTTTAATGACCTGTTCATTAATGTAACCATAATTTGCAACTCGGCCGCCGACGACGCAAGTATGACTTGATCATCGGCGTACAAAAGGCATTTGATGGTTAACTCACCCATTCTTAACCCGCATTCTTCAACTTTCAAATTTTCCAAACAGATGTCCATAAATAGGTTGAACAGCCACGGGGAAGCTACACAGCCCTGTCTGACACCTTTATGGATGCCAAACCAGTCCGAGTAGACCCCGTTGATTCTAACATAGGCACTCGAGTCCCTATACAGAGACTTTAATGCCTGTATCAAACCAGCGCTCAACCTAAATGCGTTCAGCGTTTGCCATAACACATCCCTGTCCACTCTGTCATAAGCCTTTTCCAAGTCCATGAACGCACAAAAAACTTTTTGGTTTTTCGCCAAAAACTTCTCCGCGATCATGCGCATGGAAAAGACTTGATCTGTACACCCCATTCCCTTTCTAAATCCCGCTTGCACATCCCAAATTTTTTCATCAGTTTCTTTCATAACTCTTTCAATTAGTACCTTAGCATACAGTTTTCCCACAATGCTAAGAAGGCTGATACCACGGTAGTTTTTACAGTCCTGCTGTGACCCTTTTCCCTTATATATTGGGACTATCACGGCTTTGCACCAGTCTTCCAGTACCCGTTTTAGTTCCCAACATAAATTAAACAAGGTGTAAGCAGGCCTGCCACCACGTCCTCTCCAGCCCTTAGCATTTCGAGTGAAACTCTATCATATCCGGCTGCCTTACCTACTTTCATGCTTTTCATTGCTTTCATTGTTTCATCTATACTTATCTCCCTATCTCTTTCATCTTCATTCGGAATTTCTAATTCATTTAGTTCACACTTCTCCTCACTCATAAATTCGCTTTCAAAATATTCCTTCCATCTCTTTAGACTCAACACTTCATCATTCAGGATACAGCCATTCTCGTCTCGTATCGCATTCAATCTAGGCTGTTTTGAAAGTCCCCTGGTATTTCTTACGAGTTTCCAGAACATTTTAATATTTGCCTGGAAGTTATCCGATATTCTTCTATCATTCCTATCCGTTCTTTCTTGCTTTTTCCTTTCAACTAATTCTTTTACTCTCTTATTTAAACGTTTAAACTCTGCCTTTTTTCTTTCATTCTCATCATTCTTACCGCCAGAGTTACCAGCTTTGGTCGCTAGTAAATCTAGCCATGCTCTCTTCTTTGCTTCAACTTCCATACGTACCTCATCATACCACCATAACGTATTGTCTTTCCTTTCATTCGTTCTCTTACTAACACCACATACTTCGGTAGCTACATCCACTAAACCTTTCTTAACATTATGCCACACATTCTCCAAGTCTAACTCATTCACACACAACTCATCCAAATTACTTATATTTTCTCTCAGTCTGCATTTGTACTTGTCTTTCACATCTTCATCTTGTAACCTCTCAATTCTTATACGCTGTAACGCAGTGGTAGACACAGATGTCCTATGCCGCCAACGTCTGAATAAACCCCTAATTCGGCATAAGACCAGGTAGTGGTCTGTCCCTACGTTGGACCCCCGGTAAACCCTTGTATCCACCACTGCGCTCCTCATTCTTTCATCCACAGTTATGAAATCTATCATGCTTCTATCATTACCTCTTTCCCAAGTATACATGTGATTCTTCTTATGACGAAAGAAAGTGTTCGTCACAAAAAAGATTCCTTTCCACACATACGGTGAGGAGGCTTTCACCATTCTCATTTATACTTTCATCACCAAACGTTCCCAATATCCTTTCATAACCAAGCCTCCTCACCCCAACCCTTCCATTAAAATCTCCTAGCATAATAATATTTTCATTTCCCTTACACTTCATTAACACCATCCTTACCATTTCCCAAAACTGCTCCCGGATATAAGTGGGCTTAGACATGTCTGGGGCGTAGACCCCTAACACAAACAACTTCTTTAAGCCCACTTTCATTCGTATCCATAGCAGTCTTGGGCTTACACATTCATACTCTTTCACACATTGGCCCATTCGTTCTGAAAGGATGATACCTACTCCCTGGCATGCCCGCTCGATCTCGTCTACACCAGACCAGTATGCGGTATACATGCCATGTGCAGTGACATCCTTCCCCTTCCTTTTCGTCTCATTTACACATAATACATCTATTCCTCTATCATACATCATATCGCATACTTCATCCATTTTATCATTCATTGCCCCACATACATTCAACGTAGCCAGACGGGCCTCTACAATCCACTTTTCGCCTCTCTGGGAGACAGAACGTGACGGGTGGCGAACCTCGTCGCCGGTTTTCCTCCCGGAGATTCTTCGTTAGATTTATTTACTATAAAATTTCATTTTATAGTAAATAAATCTAACAATCCTTTTAATATATATGTTAGACTCATATCTCATAGATATATTTTCTTTCGATTAAAATTATAATAGCGCCACCTACTTCATTCTGTAGGTAGTCACTTTATCGAAGAACTGATGGACACCCAAGGTGGTACGTAAAATAGGCGCTAGATGGCCTGAATTTAAGAAATCATGAATTTTTAATGAATGTTTTTTTTCAATATGGTTAATTGTATTTATTAATTTTTTTACGATTTACTGCCGCCGCCACGTGGTTGCCATTTCTATATGGAAATCATAGACATGTACGCATGTTTTATTTTTATTTTTAGTCGTTATTAGGAAGATGCTACTTTCCATCTCCTGATTTATTTCCCTCTCAATACATAACACGGCAAAACCTTTTTTGTATATTTAGCGCAAGTGTGAGCGCAATTAAACAATTTGATTAAAGAACTTCTATTTATGGTTTTAATTTATTTTATAACTTTTTTTAAATATTATAAGCTAATGCTTGACACTATCTTAACTGATGGTAAGTGGTGATGTAACCGATGATGGTAGAGCGACTTGCACGCCCACATTATAATCAGATGGAGACACACATGCTGGCAAACTATTCCACTCCTTTGCTATATCATTATATAAATATGACTAAAATCTTTAAAATACCTAACATAAAATACGAACAGAGGTAGCTCAGAGATACATCCCTTACCTTAAATACCCGAGTGACCAGAGTTTGATACGTGACGCCGCACCACTGAAACAGTGCAGTGGAAAAAATAATACTAGATTGGATTCTGATGATGTTAGTGCTTTTAGCCTTTTGGCTTACAGCTTCATCACGCTCAGGGCTGAAATAAAAATGTGGGTGGAGATTATTTATTTTAGTGCAACGTTATCTTCGTAATAAATAATGTTATGTACTTGTAAACAAGGACTTGGTGCGCTAGGGACAGATGCGTGCGGTGCGTCACCGCACGCGGTCGATAACCGCTTATTACTTAATTCCTAAAACCTAGAAGGATGAAGAAAAGTGTGCGCTGGCGCGCGGTAGTTTATTAGTAAGTATGGATAATTTAATAATTAATCTGCAAGGGTAATTTTATAATTATTAATTACGTTTAGAGGGTAAGTTTTAATATGCTTCTATAATCATTTGACATTTGGTCGTTTTTGATTATTGATTTAACATAACATCACATAACTTTTTTGGAAAGCAATATTCAACGTATTGGAAGAAATATTCAACCTCAAGAGCGTTGTTATTAACAATGTGCTAACGTTTTTACCGGAAGTTAAAGAATATCCCGAAAACTTGAAGAGTATTAACTTCAACCGAGCTCTAACTGCCAAGATTTGTAACGTCAGTTTAAAAACTATTGGGAACATTTATGACATTTATGATAATAAGAATAATTATTGAATAGTTTTCTTTTTATTTTGCATTCTTTACTTATTCATAACATACACATCGACACGACAGTGGTGCGTCACTATACCCGCCGTAAGGCCCTTAAGCACATAAGTGCGACAGAGCGCGGCGTTCAGGCGGCGTTCAGGCGACGTCCAGGCGACGTCCAGGCGACGTCCAGGCGACGTCCAGGCGACGTCCAGGCGACGTCCAGGCGACGTCCAGGCGACGTCCAGGCGACGTCCGGGCGACGTCCAGGCGACGTCCAGGCGACGTCCAGGCGACGTCCAGGCGACGTCCAGGCGACGTCCAGGCGACGTCCAGGCGACGTCCAGGCGACGTCCAGGCGACGTCCAGGCGACGTCCAGGCGACGTCCAGGCGACGTCCAGGCGACGTCCAGGCGACGTCCAGGCGACGTCCAGGCGACGTCCGGGCGACGTCCAGGCGACGTCCAGGCGACGTCCAGACGACGTCCAGGCGACGTCCAGGCGACGTCCAGGCGACGTCCAGGTGACGTCCAGGCAACGTCCGGGCGACGTTCAGGCGACGTCCAGGCGACATCCTGTTTCTCCATTTTATTTCACAGCAGGCAGCGAGTGTTTAACAGTAGTATAGAAAGTCAAGTGTAGTTCAATAGATGGGTAAGGCATGCAGGATGTCGATGTATTCAGGCAACTCAAGATCGTGCTTTGTGGCATTCCTTGGGGGAGGCCTGTGGCCACGAGTGAATCTGTGAAGGGCTGTAATGATGATGATGATGATGCTGATGTGCAGTTTAATCAGTACTGGAGGCTTTTAAAAGCGTGGCCACATTAAAAATCATATAGTATTGGCGTGTGTTTGTGTTTAGTTTTTACCTTACTTTCCATTTATGTTAATTTAATCCAATTAATTCGTTACAGAGCAACTACTTGAATCAGTCAATTTATAGCTCGGATTGGACGTCATTATCGCCATCTATGCGGCGTCAACTCCTCGTGCTGATGACTCGTTGCTCCCGCCCTATATCACCATGTATCGCCTACATCATACCAATGTCGACTGAAACTTATATCGCTGTAAGACTGTTATCTGTACCCCAAGACTTTAAATGTACACATATATAATACTAATAAATTCGGTTTTTGTGACCTTCATGTGATAAAGTTCTGTAGGAAATTGCTTTTTAAAAATTCCTATATTTTTTTTTAAATATTAAGTAGGTATGACAAACAAACATACAACGAGGAATTTGTCAACCCATTGGTAAGTGGATGCTTTAGCCTATAGACATCAACATCTATCGTCGATTTAGAATCAAAATACAGATGCGTTTTCACCCCTAAGTTCTATGATGAAATACTTCGTTTCTGGTTATCACTGGTTCTCGACATTCATCATGCGAAATCCAGCAGCCTAAGCTGGTATTTCACGCTAGTATTCTATGAGATCGTTTACCTTCGCTGTACGAGGAATAGCATTTCAATTCAATCCAATCGCGTTTCAACCATAGTATATCTGCAGCACGGCTCTACCACGTAATATCAATAATTAATTTAGAATTTTGATGACCACGTGGGCCAAGTGATGCACAGAGATTTTCATTTAAGACTAAATGTGGCCATTAACCCTTATCCATTCCCTACAAATAACATGATTTAAATAAGACCCTCTTACCTCTCTTGTTACCAGAAAGCCATAAGAAAAATTGGCCTTTAATATATTGGCGTCACCAGTGCTGTACGAGTGAAGTACTGTTTTCAATCTCATATATATATATATGTATATATATATATATATATATATATATATTTATATATATGCGATCCAGTGAAGAGCACCTAGTTTTCTTTGTACTTTCCCACAAGGCTATGTACTAAGATTGTAAATGAAAATAATGCTGTGGTCGATTTTGATCACGTTGAACAGCAAGCAAGTTTTAGTTGAAATGTTAATGAGCAGGCCATATAACATATAGCGTGAATAATCGACAACTGATGGAGAAGTAAAGGTTTTTTAATGACAAGTTTAGTGTACCTGACTGATCGGTCTGGTAAGACGCAGAAGATGCAGGAAGTCGATGGATTCAGGTGGTTTAGAACCGTGTTTTATGGCATTCATTAGGGGAGGTCTATATTCGCGTAGTGGACTTGTGTGGGACTGCAATGATGATGATGTTGGAGCAATTTTCCAACTGCCAAGAATACAATAAGGGCTGTTTGGTGATGTAATGTGTGGTGTTATAAAGCCTAATAATAATAACAAAATTATAATTATATTAATAAGCACGTCCAATTTAATTATTATACTCCAGCATCCATGGCATCATCCAGGCAGGTATGTTCCAGCTAATGCAACAATTCTAATGCAGCATAAGCTTGACTTCTAATGGAAAATATGAATATTATGATAATTACTACAGCTTTTAAAATTATTATTGTTTTATTTTAATGATTTATAAAAACTATTAAACTCTTTAAAGCAAATTCGCTTTCGATATACTATTAACATTGTAGCCCATAACAACTATTGTATTATGCGTTACATATACCAAAACCCAACCCTAAAGCTATTGTAATCGTTCAAAATATTTTCAAACAAAATTAAACATGTGTCTTTATTTTGTTTTTATTGTTTCAGATTATCAAGTCTTCATATACGCTGTTCACGTTCCTAAATCGAAAATAGTTTTTCTACATTTTGATTTTAATTTAAAAAATATTAGGTATGTACGTACAGAACTTGTTTAGATAAATCTAATATGTAGATGGCTAAATCAGTTGGTCTAAATAATGTCATTTTAACGGACATACTTATAATGATAATAAAATGTTTCATTCTAATAAACCTATTTGTAAACCTTGTTAAACACCCTCTGCGCCATTAGAACTACTTCAGTTCCCGCATCTGTCACCATCACCAATTTCAAAAACCTTTCCATAAATTAGTTGTATTAATTATTATGATTGAAAGAAAATCTAAATTTCTGTACTTTTAGTAAAGAAGCTTGTCTTGTATTGTTGAATGCTTTTGTTTTAAAAATAATAGGTATTACACCCATTTTCAAACAGTGTTTTAAATGAATCGTAGAGTGATAATAAACCACTATAATTATTATATAATTTTTTTTAAATTGAATACTGCCATAAAAATTACTTTTAATGTATCGTTTTAAATATTCGCGTGAAAACGCTAGCCGCCATGCTCCGCCAATAAATTATAAATATTACAAAAAATACTTATCTCGAGTCAATAATTTCAGACAGTACACACGTTTGATTAAACGCTTGTAACTTGGGTAATATATTCAAAACTCATAATTTGTCATCTATGTAGATTTTTAGTACTTTTATTGCATAATCTGGGCCAGTACATATGGCAAATATGCAGACATTTTTATTCTCCATTATTATTTCTCTGGAGAAAAGATCCGTAAAAAAATAAATATCCTGTCTCTGGAAATAGGATATTTCTTTTTTACGTTTTGTAACACACGATACTTGTATTTATTTTTCTCCATTCCGACTGGTAAGGAAACTCAGCTACAATCAAAATAAATATAATGAGTTAACTATCCGGTATAATAATGATGTGCGAACTTTATACTAATTAAAATATACTGTACGAAAGTAAATACTTCCAACGATCAAAAACCGAGTTCTATTTCGGAACATATGCCAAAATAGCAGCGCTTATAACGGCGATAATATCAAAACGAGGCGGAGCGCGCGAAATAAACGGACACAAGTCCAAACTAGACAAGAACTCGCGCGCTAGTGAATTCAGAATTCAGATGGCCGGCGCAGTGAAATATATGGTACTTTTATTTAATTAATTAAAAAGTAATATTAACGATTTAAAAAGTAAAAATCATAGTATAGTTTAAGCAAATGTTGATTATTATTTTGGTATAAAGTCAAAATGATGTAAAACTTCGGAGATATTGGGGCTTGTATCGAAGCTTTTTCGGTCGTTAATTGAATTATGTCGATTTTTTTTCCTTACGTGAAATGCATATAACGAAAATGTATTCTATCATTATTAAAGTATAGGATATTTGTGAGATAAAAATATTTTTTTTGATAATCGAATTTCAATAGAAACTACAAATTATTGCTCCCAAATCATGTCTCAGAGTTTTGGCCTAAACATGCATCAGGAGAATGTTTATTACTAAATAAATAAATAAGTTATCTAAAATTTGTCTAAAGCTTATTGTAGTACAGAAAACGAACTATTTTCAACAAGTTATTATTAATTCAAGCAACGAACGGAAAACACATAACTATAAAAAAATATAAATAAATTGAATTAAAATCTGCTACGGATCCCTACAATAATAACATGTGATCTGGCGCAACATTTATTTAGCTGTGGCTTCATTAGGGGGTTATACCTACGCATATCTGCCTCGCGGGGGCAAGGACGGGTTATGTCGGACTCGCACCAACTAAAACCCCATTGTGTTCCACCTTCATCACATATTGGCAGGGTCACGGGAACGCTTTTGCACACATCCGAAGCTCCACCAGTGCCGCCTGCTCCATAGCGGCTCCTCCTCAGGAGAGGATTACTCCTCCCCATCTCCTTCTCAGGTAAGGCGCACCAGAACACATATCGTATTTTTCTTTGCGGCCTCCAACCTACGCAACGGACGTCCCTTGTCCGATGCACGAAGGTTATGGGGCCAGGAAAGACAAACATTAAGAATCACTAGTCTTCCTGACCTCAGCGGCGGATCTGCTCCATGACTCTGCCACCAGCCAAGATTCAGCTGCTGAGGAAAGGGCAAGCGACGCCTTGTAATACCAACACTCCTTTCTCCCGCAGGCCCACCACCACCGCATCAACGGTGCGGCACCTTTAGAGTCGCGGAGAGTTGGGCGAGTGGCGCATTGCTACACCAACACCTCCGCCATTCCTCCGCGACTCCAGCTCAGCTGCAGCGGTCGGGGAGAGGACACACTTCGCCCACCAACACATATCCGATTTGGGCTCGACAAGCCCGCTCGGAATGGCTACATTTTTACTCCGCCTACGCGGAATTACATCGCCTACGCGAATTTACTTCACCTCCGCAGATTTACTTCGCATACACGGATTTACTTTGCCTACGTGGATTCCAGATGTGGAGAAACATACACCTTCCCAGTTTGATCTTCTGCTGACCTCTCATCCGAACAGATATCAAGTCTCCGTCGGCGCTCCTCTTGGCTCCTCAAACCATTGTCTGATTAGGAGTGGGGCACTCACGCTCCCTTCGCGTTTGCGTTCTACACGTTGCCACTGTGTTTGGTATTACAAGTCGATAGATTGGGACGGAATGCGGTATTTCTTTGCATCCTACCCATGGGGGCGGGTCTGCTTCTCGCTAAATGATCCCAGCGCTGTTGCTGACTCTGTCACTGATGTGGTGCTACAGGAAATGGAACTATTTAATCCATCATCTGTGGTACCCATCGTAGTGTGACGGCCCAATATTATTATTAATAATTAAATTCAATATAAAGGGGCGTCAAAAATAGTTTTAAAAGATATATATTAAACAATAAAATTACATTAATAACCATAAAGTTAATATA